AGACATGAGCCGATTAAACGTAGAAATAGGAAACCTAGAAATATAGTAAAAACGCTGAATAGTACTCCAGCGTCGCGACATGCTGACGTTGGTACGAGTAGGTTAGTCTACAAACGTCGCCTAAAGTAATTGATTTTACGCGGCACAACGAAAGAAGTTGTCTCAGGCGATTGATTTTTGACAAACAATGACCTTTCAGAGGTCAAATTGCTGTCAAGAATATGAATTGGCTGCTTCGCAGCAATAAAAATAACGCTAAAAAAAAAGATCGACGTTTCGACTCCTTCAAGGTGTCATTTTCAAGATCAAATGATGAAGTATAGAGTATACAGCAACTATAATCAATAGAAGGAAATGCCCATCCGAATTATCCTACCATTCAAAGACCAGAAATCTGCCAACTCGGTTAAGCGTCAACTACGCCAACTAAGCAACAAAATAGACCAAAACACTTTTCTTGTTTTCACAAGCAGAAAAATAAGTGATGATTGAAATTAAGAAAACGGAAAGAAAACCTACAATCATAAATCAGGAGTGTGTTGTGTACAGATTTAAATGTGACTTATGCAAGTTATGTCGGATACACAAACCTACACCTCTACCAACGTATTGCTGATAACAAAAGATTTCTGTTAGGACAACATACTAAGGACCATCATATCAGCTCAAGCAGTATTGAGTCATGTTTCAGCATTTTAAAGAAATGTAGGGACAAATTTGACTGTCTCATTCATGAAATGCTATTTATTAGACAATTAATACCCAGTCAAACAATGTGACTCTGTCAAAGCAAAGCTTTTTATCTAACACAGGGCAGTGGTGGCGCCAGAGGGGGCTGGGAGGCTATAGCCCCCCCCCCCCCCCCGGGCGCCCCCCCCGTCGGGGAAGCTTAGCTCCCCAGTCGGGGAAGACGATATATTTTGTCGAGGAACATGCAAATAAAAAAGAATATTTACATGTAATATTCGTTTAGCCACCATATTGTTTGTGTTAACTATGTATCACAACAACAACAACAATAATAATAATAATAATAATAATTCAATGAGACTAATTAAAAATAATTTCTGTTCTGTTATGACAAATGCTCATTTAGATAGCCTCATGATGGTTGGAATACATCGTGATAGGTGAAGCAACCTCGACCATGACAGCGTGGTTGACAGATTTAATGCAAAATTTTCAAAATATAGAATTTCACTTTCAAGAATGAGGATTTGAAAATAAATTAGATGGTTACATTGCATACTCTTTGTTTCTTGCTTTATTCAAAATGTTTTGGTTTTGGAAGCTGATTTCAACATTAGAAAGCATAGCCTACATAAAGTCATATTATAGTAACTCGATGCCTATCAAATAAGTAATATTTGATCGCCATAATTCATCAAATACCCGTGGCTTCCAGGGGGCGAAGCCCCCCTGGACCTCCACCGGGGGACCTAGGCGGCCCCCATCCAAGTGAGACTCGATTCGCTCCACTAACCCCCCGTCGGGGCATTTAGCCCCTCCGTCGGGCAGGTCCTGGCGCCACCACTGACACGGGGATTAATATCCAACTGTTATGAACTTTGACATTGTAGATTAGCTTCTTTCTATTGATTGTTGTTGTATATTCTATACTTCATCATTTGATCTTGAAAATGACACCATGAACGAGTCGAAACGTACTGTCGATCTTTTCTTTTTAGCGTTATTTTTATAATAAATATTTATACAAAACGTACTCTTATTAACATAAATCTTAAAAGAAAAAAAAATGCATATAGAGTGAAGGGGAGGGCATTTCTTTTTGAGAATAAAAATTAATTTTCATTAAAACTAAATCGAACAATAAACATCTTTCTATTAGTAGAGTAACCATCATGGGCGGATTTAGTGGGGACGGCCCGGCCCCCCATCCCCCTATTTTTTTGGAAGGTAAAAAAAAGGGGAAAAAATGATAGCACATAACGCCTCAAATTATTTTCGGGCGTCTAGAACACAACAATTTCGCGGGGAAATACACACCCGGACCCCCTAGGACAGTGTTGTCTCGATCGGCCCAACTTTCGCATCCCCCCCCCCCCTTTTGAACATCTCTGGATCCGCCCTTGACCATGCAGTAACTACGACTCGTGTCTACTTTACCGTTTATATCACAAATTAATGATGAAGATGCTAGTGTGATGGAATCAGATGATGATGGTGTGATGATTGTGGTGATTATAATGATGATGATGATGGTGATGAAGTATCACATTTTGTTTCGTTTAGTTTGACAATTATGTATAAGGGGAATATTTTCTGATGGAGTCATACGAAACATATTTTGAACAGAACTTAAACGCTAATAAAGAATTAAAGTTGCAATTTTCATTCATTATCGAGTAAAATATACCGAGCCATTTACAATCTTCCAAGCGTGATTCATGAAGAGGAGGGCATTTCTTCTTGAGAATATCACCGTACTAAACCGATTATCAATGATGACTTTATATAGCAATAATTTATATTCTGGCATTTCATATGGTCGTTGGGTTAACGAAAGATGTGCACACTGATAATAATAATAATAATAATAATAATAATAATAATAATAATAATAATAATAATAATAATAATAACAATAATTTATTGGCTCTCTTTTTCAAAGCAGAGGAACACTCTCACGCAGCTGAGTAGAGGTTCCATACAACAGAACAAAAGTTACACGTAAAGAAAAAAATTAACAAAAAGAGAGATAATAGTAATGAAAAATCTAAATGCAATTAAAATTATAAAATTCTGAAGTTTAAAATCTTAACTAGAAGAAAAAAGTATATAATAATAATAATAATAATAATAATAATAATAATAATAATAATAATAATAAAGTAAAAAAAAAATAGATAAATAAATGAATAGTTTATTTTTAGTTTATTTAGTTGTTTAGTTCATTTGTAGTTTATTTTAGACAGTACAAGAAGAAACAATTCCCTGATAAATCGATATTTATATAACAGACAGTACCGTAGGCCTAATAATAAATAAAATAAAATAAGATAAAAATAACAGAAAATTAATCATTTCGTTTTATTCGACCAATATTCCTAGTTCATATGTTATTTCGTATACATACAATTATTGCAAATTTTGACCATTAACTATGGAGATTTCTTGTTTTGTGTGTACCGGTAAGTGTTTAGCTAAATTATTTATACTGTATCACTTTTCAACGTTGCTTTGTTGTACCATGGAGGTATTATTGAGAAGGAGATCACTCGAAAAAGCTACGCGCACGCAGCGCTATGCAAATGAACCAAGAAGAACGTTTGCGCGATGCCTTTGAAGTC